ACTATGTCGATTGTTGCTGTTGAATGCTCTATTAGACCACTTAAAGGCAGTTGGCACGATAAATCCCCCAAGACGACTAGGATCAATACTCCTGGCAGGATAGAATTCCGCGACCCTGGGCAGGCGCTGCATAGCGGTTTCCCCGAGGAAGGTGCCCTTATAAGGGCCCTATCAAGCCACAACTTTACGTCCCAAACGCCCGCCCGCCCACAAATGGACGACCGTTCCTGACGCTCTATTCATTCATTTGCTAAGCAAATTATGAAGCGAAGGGATTGGTATGAAGCGGCCGTGATGCTGCATGCATACATGGGTACACATATGCAGCCGTATCTTCGGTAGCGGTGATTGGTAAGATGCCTACGGGAAACTCGTCCGAAATCGATTTACAAGTCACTGAGAACGGAGGCTTTTTCTTCGCAGGATTTTGACCGTTTCACTCCGTTCTTTCGCCATTTCCCCACTATACAGCGCCCTACTAGCATTTTAGGCTAAGTAGGAAACCATCGTGCCAACTGCCTTTAAATAGTATTGAGAATGGTAGCAGCGTTCGGGCAAGCACGTCTCATGTGCTTTTTTTACCCATTTCAGGCTCTGGCGAAGACGGAAACGCCGAAACGCAGGCCTAATACGGCAGAGCATTCCGATAGCTTCGAGCTTTTATTAAAGCTCGAAGAGATATAACTACCACTTTGGCTTTCTGTGCCGCCCTCGCCGCGAATCGGATGACTGAACTACAATCCCACAGCACAATGCAGCGCAAAAAAAATAAATAAAACTAACAGATAGCACAACTAACCAGTCTGCAGTCCAAATTGAATGAACCGTAGATGTGTCCACTGTTATAAGCCTCGTTCGAGCGGCAGTCAATAACAAAATAGGTTATATTTGATGTCTTAAAAATTAGGATTAATTTGTTCAACAATAGAACACATTTGAACAGAAAACGTCTGCTTAGAAGGCCATATTGCAACAAAGCCAATATATGCGTAAAACTACGAACTACTTACCGCTACAGCGCTACGTTCGCGTCTCGTAAGCTCTTGAATGGTCACGGGTAAGCACAACAGTTTGCTTACTTGCATTTCTCCAACTTCATCATCATAATTGGAACCAAATATTAAGTAGTGGAAATCCTGATAACGATACGTACATTATTTCATTTGAGATATTTCTTGAGGGCACGCTGCGATTATCAAAAGGTGGACCTTTTTAGTACGCGAGGTGGGCCGGTCTGAAGCCGACTCTTAACTCTAAACTTGTTGTAGTCCCGTCAATGCAAATAGAGCAAGAGGCTGGTGATAGCTTGCCTCAAGTTTTCACCCGCCATTCGTTACGCAATACACGCCGCAGACACGCCATATGGTCGTTATCACCTACAGCTCAACTTATCGTGCAAAAATGTTCAATCCAGGGCGACAGCTCCAGCACCGAACGTGCAGACATGGTGGCCACGTCGACGGTTAAGAAATAATGGCAGCCCAGCCATAAGTAAGAGCTTGAAACAAATACCTTACACTGACTAGTGGTTAGGCCAATTGCTGGGCCTATGGCGCATAGTGGTAAGACAAGTAACGCATAGGGGTGTATAGCTAGGCACACGGCTTGGCGTATGGCGTATAGGACGATGGGCATAGATATTAGGTTGTCCGGAAAGTTCTCAGCGTTTTGAGTGTTTCACTTTAAACGATCATCACCTA